TACACCAGCAGTTGCACTCCTGAGGGTGTTGGATGGTATGGAGACATTCCCTACATCTGTGGGAGAAGCATGGGTGGGGTCAGATTTGTAATCATGCCAGTGGCTGATTCTACAGCTGCAAGATATGACAGGAACTATCTTCCACCTTGTGAGGCATGTGTAGGCCCAAGGTTTCTGGCAGCATCAGAGGCTCTGGGTGCTGTCCCCTGAAATAAGATTGCATCTAGCTTTGATTGTTGTAGCAGCTTGGGTTCTTGCTGCCAGGGATGACTTTCTTTAGAGCAGAGCAATCACTCTTAGAACAGCCAGCTCTCCAAAAAGTTTTAAAGCCTATGAGGTATACAGCACTTTCCTATAATTAGGACTGTTGGTCTGCAGCTCTGATTGGGGTTTCTGGCATTTTCTTGCTTACTTTTTCCGGGAAATGTTTAATAACCTACTTGACAAGGAACCCACGGTTGAAGCTGCAATTTGCTTTGTTCTTTTCTGTTTCCTCTCTAATTTTCTTCTGCTTAGGTTTTTCATCACTTCCTTGCTGATTTCCAGAGTTCTTCCCGAATTCTTCAGCTCAAAATATAGTTTTTCCAGTCAGGCATGGTGGTGCATACCTATAGTCCCAGAAACCCAGGAGGCTGAGGCATGAGGGTTGGAATTACAAGTTTAAAGCCCACCTAAGAAATTTAATAAGACCTCAACTCAAAATAAAAAGTAAAGACTAGGGATACGGCTTGGTATCCCTAAATTCATTTTCCAGTACTGCCAAAAAAATATATATCTATATATAAAATATATAAATATGTGTGTATATGTATATATACATATACATACACATTGTATGTATACATATATTGCATGTATAAATATATACATATATATGTACATATTTATATACATTTGTATGTGCAATATATTCATATATACAATATATTTATATATACATATATACACTTGTACATAGATCATTCATATATACACACACACACACACACACACACACACACACACACACACACACATCGTTTTTCTTTGTTTCCCTGATTCTTCATTGTGGTAGAATCACTCACAGAGAATCTCTATTCAGCTTTCTTGAATCCTTCTCTTTCAATTTTTAAAGGTTATATTTTGAGTGAGGAAACATTGTATATTTATAATAAAATACTTTTGAAATTTATGACCTTTCTATTGTATTTGTTGAGACTATTCTAAATCCTGTATCTTTTCTTGCATATTTTTCATTTTTACTTTTATTTGTTCTATTTTTTGTTTGCTTATAAAAAACAAAGAGTTGCAAACAGAAACATATTTTCCTTAAATGAGAGGTTGATTGTTACAATACTATTTTGTAAAATATTTTTTAGTTTTCAAATGGACCTTCATTTTATTTATTTATATTTGATGTTGAGAATTGAACTCAGTGCCTCACACATGCTAGGCAAGCACTCTACCACTGAGCACAACCCCAGCCCCACAGTACTATTTTTTAAAATCCCTTTTTTTCTTCACTGTTAAATGGCACCCCTTCATACAGTGAAACCCCAGTATTATTATTATAGATTTTAGTGTTTTTAATACTGTCTTTGTCTGATTTTAGTTTCAGTAAAATGATGGTTTCTTAGAATTTCAAAGCTTTCCTTATTTATATTTACTAAAAGCTTCAGTGTTTTCAGAAGTAAATTATACCAATATATCTGAGCAAATATTTGAGTCTATTATAATCCTGGTCTAGTGAAATGTATAGAACTTAATTAGTATATTACATGCCATTTTGCTGATTGAGATAATCTTTTTCATATCAATTCAATTATGTTAAATTATAATTGAATTAAGATTCATCCAATTTAGCCAGGAGCAATGGTACATGCCTATAATCCCAGTGGCTCTGGAGGTTGAGGCAGGAGGATTCCCTGTTCAAAGCCAGATTCTGAAACTTATCGAGGCCCTAAGCAACTTAGAGATACTCTGTCTCAAAATAAAAAGGGCTGGGGATATGGCTCAGTGGTTAAACACCCCTGGGTTCAATTCCTGGTACCAAAAATAAAAATAAAAAAGTCATCCAATTTAATGAAGTTTTGGAATTTATTCTGATAATTTGGAATATTCTCTATAATTTTTTACTTTCCTAAGTATCCGTTAATTTTCCCTTAGTATTTTGAGAATCCTCCTTTATATGGTGATTAGGTCACTTAGAGTTTTACTCTTCATAATATCATGCTAGTTTCAAGTTTCTTTATTACCATGAATAAGTTTTTGAGCTTATCCATTATATTTTTTTTCAATTTTCAAACTTATTACTTTGTAGTTTAATATTTTTGCTACTTTCTACTATTTTCCTTAATTTTTCTCTTCTAATTAAAAATGATTGCAAAATATTGTTTATTTTTAATATGTGCCTGAATGTGTGATTTTTTTTTCCCTCAGCACATATCCTTAGCTAAATATCCTAGATTTGGGTCCATAAATACATATTATACTCACTTTTCTGAGGTTTCATTAGCTTTTAAATTAAACATACTGAATTGAACATATAGAACGTTTTGTAAATTTTTTTATATATAGTAGTAATTCAGTAGACTTTTTTCCTTTTTCTTAGGAATGCTGTAGAACAATAGCTATAAAATAATTTGCTTTACACTCTCAAGATGTATTGAGGGACCTAAACAACATTGGATTATGTACTCTTTATACTTAAATTTACCTAGTTAAATTAGTTAAATTTAAAGATTTAACTAATTTTTATTTCAAAATAATAGGCCTATTTCATATTAGCATAAACATTATATTAAAATAACTGTATTTTTCTAAACAAAAAATAATGGCATTGCTTTTCATTCTTGAAAATATTTAATGTCCAGATTAACAGAACATGAACGTACTCTCCTTCATCAACGTCTTTAATATCACACATCATATATTCTTTAGGAAACTTCCACAGATAAAAAAATGGTAAAACAACAAATGATAACTCAGTGTTTTTATAAAATGAACTTTGACCTTATGAGCCAAGTGAAAGTTTGCAATGATCCATAAGTAATCCAGACTGCACTTTGAAGATTATGTCTGTAATAGATATTTTAAATCATATTTTGACACTAGATTGCTTGTGGCTGTGGCCACCATGATTTTTCTTCCTGTAGCTGAATTTTTTCTTTTCTAACTAAATGCTTACAAGGTTATATTTGTCCTTGAATTTTAATAAATTCACCATGATTTGCTTTGCTTTTTCTTAATGAGTTTATCATTAACTAAGCCCCACCCTTTTAGGTTAAAATCAAAGACCATCTTTACTCAAAACAAAATATTCTTTAATCTTTAAATAATATTCCTGTTTCATTGTATTTTTAAAAATAATTCCACCATTTTATTTCTTAATCTTTATTTTATGTATTTATTTATTTTTATGTGGTGCTGAGGATTGAACCCAGGGCCACACATGTGCTAGGCAAGTGCACTACCACTGAGCCACAGCCACAGCCCCTCCATTGTATTTTTTAAAGTAACAATTAGATGTAGGTTGGACCTTTTGTCTTTCATAGCTATTCTTATTTATTTCCAATCATGTCTATTTATCTTTTAAATTTGCTTTCTGATATTCTTTCCCTCAAGTATTTCATCTTAATTGACTGTATCTGCGATTCAATTTTGGTGATAATGTTTACATAATCTCTCATTTCTTTAAGCACTGGTTTCTGTTCACATTGTGCATTATTCTGTTGCATTGAGTTTGTTGCATTGAGCCTTCTCTGAACAACATATTTTTTTGAATCCAGGCGTGTTTATTTCAATGATTCCAAAGACATAGAATCTTTTTTTTTTTTAATGTCTGTGCATAGAGTGATTTTCTTACATCTCCTCCACCCACACACCCTGCTGCCCCATAGCCCTTTATTTACTTATTTCCTCTTTTTAATTTTATTTATTTAGTTGCTAGAATAGAGGAATTGATATCCCTTGAGCTTAAAACAAATATACAAACAGATTATGTAAAAGAACAGTTTTATACAGTCTGGTCTGGAAAATGGAACCAAGTCAGTTTCAACTTAAATTTGTGATATTACAGAGCATTTTTCTCCCCAGAACTGTCTTATTATCTACCTTAGGAAGGATTCAGGACTATGTCTTAGTGAACACTGCATGATGACTCATTACCCAGGCAGTAGGGCATTATAACTATGATAGATTGATAAGGGCTCCTAAAAATATGCCCACAGCCTGATCACTAGAATCTGCAAATATTACCTTATTTAAAAGAGAGAACTTGGGGCTGGGGATGTGGCTCAAGCGGTAGTGCGCTCGCCTGGCATGCGTGCGGCCCGGGTTTTATCCTCAGCACCACATACAAACAAAGATGTTGTGTCTGCTGAGAACTGA